GGGGGGCAGGTAGGGCATTAACAGGGAAAGGGGGGCACAAAGAAATACATTCTTATTCTCATTTAAAATGTCTAGCTTTTATTAAATAATTATCTGAATCTTGCGAACAAAGTTTTTATCTGACGTAAATGTATAGAAATCATACATATACCAAAAAGACAGCATTTGTTTTCATTCAAAGGCTTTATGGCTTTAATACCTGGGGGGCCGGTCTGTAGTCAAAATGCCCAATTTTCTGTCCCAGTCCAGCCCTGCAGGTTAATACTGGCAGTATCACCGTGCCAGCTGACTGTATTTCATCATCAGCCAGTGTTGTTCTTTATACATCAATATTACCAAAGTTTACCATAAGGCAGCATATAAAGTATTTACTTGCTTTCAGGTTTCATTCAAATGTTAGTCTTTTCAGTTGTTTCCCCACTTTTTTCCTGTTTCAAAATCAAACACCAGTTTGTAAGAAAATGATCTTCTTTTTTTAATAGGCATTGGTTTTGCATTGGCTAATTTGCCAATTGTATGTTAAAAATGTTCATATTTTAATATTCAAAAATGTTTTTGCCCAAAACATATGTGCACTACATGTCAGTAAAAATACTATGCAAATATTGCTGTCCTTGAATGCTGAATAAACACTGACTGATTGTATCTCTTGTACTTTATCAACACAGTATCTAAAAACTTTGCACCGTAGTGGTTAAAATCTCATTATAATAAGAGTTAAAAGCACATTCGGTTATTAGGTTTATAGGGTTATTGAATTATGGTAAACGGTTGGTAGAATTGTTTTTAACATTATCTGCCAATTACATCTGCCACCCTTCTCCAAATCTGTGCCCCTACCTGGCCCCCCCCCCAACAAAAATTTTCTAGACACGCCACTGGAGTAATGTAACCTGCGTACAATTTTATACTGAATTAAACAGTGACGGGAATTAATAAAAAGCGTTTTTATATTGCGTAACACCTCCTGCCAAAAATCTTCCGATAGGGAATTTCCTAAATTCCTTTTCCCACTCCTCTTTAATTGAGTGAGTTGAAGGTGTACTCATCTCCTGTAGTGAGTTATAGAATAATGAGATTCGCTGTCTGAACCCCCGGCTATCACTAAGGCATCTATCCAAGGTGTCACACGGCATGCTTTCAAACTGCGGCAGATGTGTGCGGATATAATTTCGTAGTTGAAGATATCTAAAAAAAAAAATGGCTGCGCGGTAGTCCAAATCTATCTATTAATTGTTGAAATGACATGAAGGTGTCATTTGAATACAAGTCTTTTAATTTACGAATTCCCAGTTCCTGCCACACGTTGAAGGCTCCGTCTGCACATGATGGAAGGAAAGAGGGGTTAGCTGTAACAGGCGTACTCATTGATAATGATTTCAGTTTAAAGTGCTTAATTATTTGTTTCCAAATTCGCAAAGTGGTATGGATCATTGGGTTATAATTATAGTGTGCACTTGTCAAGGGAGTAGGAGAAAGTAATATTCCACCAACACAGTAAGGAAGGCAGTCCTCCCGCTCCATCTGCAGACCATGGGGGAGTAACGCTGTATCATCCAGTAAGAGGGAAATTATTCTTAAATTTGATGCCCAATAATAATGCATAAAATTAGGTAGTGCAAGTCCACCAAGGGATCCGTGTTTACGTAGATCATAGGTGTCAAACT